TCATGGCATCGCCGGTAAGGATTGAACTCCAGCTTTTCTGATTCTTCTTCAGTGAGCATGTGATCAATAGTTATCTCTCCCACATCTATATATGGGAATTCGGTTTCATCCCATGGCTTGGTACAGTCGAGTGCAGTGTCACGGATGCCTTCGTCCTGTGGGATTGCCCGGGCTTGGAGTTGAAGGACATAATGAACTCTGTCAAGGGAATTCACACGGCTTTGGAAATCTTCAGCGAGGAAAAAAAGTGGGCATGAATCATTTGCATCCCTTGGGATAAAACCAGTTTCTGGTGGAAGTATTCCCACAGGCTCCACCTTACCAGAATCCTCACCGATCTTATCATCGAAAGGCCTCAACTTGAATTTAACATACATTTCCTGTCCACCTTTTAATCTAAAAAAACCTGCAAAAAGTTGAATAATAATGTAGCTCAGTGTATGAGTCAGCACGGCGGAGGGAGTCCCAAATTGCTTCACGGACATGTGGAGCATGCTTCACAAACTCTTCTCGTGCTGCCTTGCCACACACAAGCCACATTGCAAAGTCACCAATGGTACGGGCATTAAACACCTTGCCTGTCTTTAGTGTCAGATCAGAAGTGGAGTATCATGACCACCTTCAACTGAAATGATCTGTATTGCTGCACCACGTAGATCAATCCTTGCATCATCATTGTAACTTAAGACGTTACTGTGACGGATGATGATAAGGTAAATCTTTCCGGGGCTGAAGATGTTGTGTTCTTGGAAGCCAGGGATGTCATTGTAGAGCCTCAAGAATCCCTTTCCAGCAGCCCCAATTCGATGAAAGAATCTTGATCTGACCTTCAGCGTCGTGGCAGATAAATTTGTAGCAAGATTTCCGACTACCTTCTTATATTTTATGTCCATCTCCTCTAACCGGTCATCCAGAATATGCATGTTGTTCTTTACCATAACTGGTATTTTAGATCCAACAAAGATACCCCTTTTGGAGAACTGATCTCATTGGGGCAACTGAGAGAGCGCCAAGAATAACATCCTTCTCAATAACAGAACCGGGGAGGACAAGGCTTTGACTTCCAATAACTGCATTATCCCTAATCATAATTTTTCCGCGAACAAAGCCAATAGAGGTACAGAGTCCGGGTCTGATTCGGCTGAAGTCACCTAAATGGACACCATCAGCAATTGAAATCAATTTCGGTTCTGTGATAGGATTAATGGTTCTGATAGAACAATGCTGGCCGATTTTTGCTCCCAAAAGGCGGAAATACATGCATAAGGCTTCTGTTCCGGAAAGGAACTTGGCAAATCTGAGATGGCAGGCTATGATACTTCAATGGCAAAGCCAAGACTCTAGGTGTGCTCTGCTTGACACTTGTGTTTTGGAGAGAACATGGGTCGAAGCGCTGGTGATCAAGCAGAGGATAAGACCATGAGCCAGGTAAGAAATTGAAACAGCGATGGCGAACTGAAAAGGGCTTGAAGGAACACTTCTGAACATAGTTGCATATGCTACAATGGTGAATGGCAACCAGTGAAAGGCTCCACATATGCAGAAAAAACTGAAGTGTTGAAAGGAATGAGGCTTCTATGCTAGCCAAAGTAAGATGAAGTAAGCAATAGCAGCAGATAGACAGCTGATGGAAGCAACTGCATAAATGCCCAAGAAGTGGTAAAAGGATACAAATTTTTCATTGGGTTTATTCATGATTTCTTGTACAATTTTGCCCTGCAACCAAGGTAGGGAAACCGAAGGTCAATGTCAGTTGTAATATAAAATATATCTTGAATTATGTCTAGTTATATTTAAAAAAACAAAAACAAAAAAAGGTGCAAGACTATGTCCCATTAATCGATATATATGATTATTAGAACCAAAAGCCACATGAGAATAATATATTTGTAGTAGTAAATAATATCTTCAGTACATGTTATGATGGATATATATTTCATAACTTGTACTGAAGATATTATCTTAATCCATATATATACATATATACATATACTTGTATGTATATATGTATTTAAATCTTTCTCTGTATATATCATAGACGTCTTCATGCCCCAAAAATTTAGTCGCTCTGAGCACAACAAAAGCTTCCCTGTATAATTGCAAGAGAAAAATATATATTATTAATACATTTCTCTTACAACATTTCTTATAACTACTGACTCAAAGAACTTGATGTATACACTGGCACACGAGAAACTCACTATAATAATAGTCAAACACAAATATCCCTTGGCAGTGCTCCCAAACATAGCTTTACGCAAAGTTGGAGAATTGATGGTCCATACACCAAATTTTGCTCAGCGACAAATATCCCTTGTCACCAGTTGGGTCCTTCACTTTCTTCTATTATCAATTTTTTTCCAATTTCAAGTTCTGTTTTGTGAGATTTTGTTTTATTTTAAAAAAATGCAAATTTTTTGTTATAATCTAAGTTAACACTAAGTGTACTACTATCATAATCAGCAGCACTGCTTTCCATGTTGGAGAACAATAGCAAGGAAATTCAACAGGAGAACATCACGTCCCCTCAGTGAAGAAGAAAAAGGATCATTGTCTCATTGGAGTACCAAGCTGCTATCTACTGCAGGTAAAGCTGGGCTGATCAAGACGGTTATTACTCCTATATGTCTTTACTGGTGCAGTGTTTTTCAACTTCCTATAGCAGTCATCAATCAAATTCAAAAGATGTGTGGAGATTTTGTTTGGAGAAAACATGAATAAACTTCACCTCTTGAGCTGGGATATGATGTGCAGGCCCAAAGCTGAGGGAGGTTTGGGTATCAGGAAATTGAAAGATCTGCAGGTCACTTCTTAGTGTGTTTTGGCTTGGGATTCCTATTAAGCAAGGATAGGCTTTGGATATCTTGGTTTCATCACAGGTATACAGCATCTTCTTATTTTTGGAATGCTACTCCTAAAATTTCTCATTCAATCTTGTGGAAGAACATGATTAATGTTAGAGAAACTTTGCTTAATGCAATTCATTTCTCAATTGGTAACGGGCAGTTCTTTAAAGCTCTATCAGACCCTTGGTGTGAGGGGGCGACATTATTGCAGAAATTTGGCTATAGTATTGTCAGAAGGTTGGGTTTCACATGGAATTCATCACTGTCTCATCTAATGATTGATGGTGGATGGAATTTTGAATTGTTACAGGAGGATATCTTTAAACCTATTAGAGATTATTTGTGTACATTGACAATTCACTCTAGAACTGATAGATTACTTTGGGATGGAGGCTATTTTTCTTTCAAAAATGTGTGGGAAAGCTGTAGGGCCATAAATCCAGAGGTTAATTGGTCTAAAATTTGCTGAGGCAAAGCTAGGCCGAGGTGGTCGTTCCAAGATAGACTGCTGTCTATGTATAATTTGCAGAGAAGAAAGGTGCAGCTGGCTCCAAGATGTTCTATCTGTTTACAAGGGATTGACACCAGAAACCATTTGTTTGTTCAATGTCCATTTGCAAGGAATTTCTGGAAATGGTTGGCAGACACACTTGATTGGAGGACTGATTTTACTCTTTTGAACTCGGTGGATGATTTGTTGATTTGGTTTTTGCAGCAGAGTAGCAAAATGGTTCATACTATGCTAGTTGCTGGTCTTTGGGGTATTTGGCAAGAGAGAAATCGAAGACTTCATGACCACAGTTCTCGATCCACCTTTGAGGTGGCTCGACAAATTTTACTTGAAGTTCTTGATGTTTATAATCTCCCTCTTAGAGACATTATTTAGATTGTTTTGTTTTTACATTTCATTTCTTTTTATGAAATAGGTTTACCATTTCAGTTTCATTATGAATGCCCTCTGTGCGCCTGTAAATACTTTTTCTCTCTTTTATACAAAACCAATTATGAAAAGAAAAAAAAAAAGAAGATCATAAATACACATATAATATTCTTATTCTCAGTACTGTGAATAAAATTTAAATTTCTTTTTTTTATCATATATTTTGTGTTCATTTTAATTTAATTTCATTGTTGCTCTCATTTTATTTTGTATATAAACCTACCATTATTTATGTTTCATGTGGATGGGATACCAAAGAAGGGGACACGCGGTGAAGTATTAAATAAGCATGCTACACCCGTCTGTATGTGCTTAGGGTTTTAGATCAGTTGGTGCTTGACAGTATTTTAAATCACTATCAATAGACTTTTAAATTTTTATACAATATCTAAAGAAGATTAAATGTCAATAATATTGAAATAGGAAATATTATAGTTACTAACCTTTTGAATAGTATCAGCATTGCCAGTCTTGGATTGGATTTGGTTTCCTTCACTTGTTTGCAGAGCTGGTACCTTAGTTCCATCTTCCACAACACTTCCCTTCTGAATTACAGCATAAGGACCAACAGTAGAATCTCAGCCAATCCTGATGGGGCCAAAACTCAAGACCCCGTTCTTCACCTCATGACTTTGCACCAATACTCCTTCTACAAGCACTACTCCATCTCCAATTGAAACTAGAGAAGGGTCTGTAATGTCAATGGTGTCAAGCAAAACAGATGTTCCGATCCTGGCCCCAAGCATCACAAACCAGTATTTCAAGAACACTGTTCCTCTCAAATGCACTGCAAGAACTTTTGAAGAAACTTCTTGGGCCTTGTGGAGTGCCCAACATTTAACGAAATCCAATGACCAAATGGGAATTTCCGAGCTCATAACGTAGTTAGGCTGCAAGAATGAATTCCCAAAGAAAGCAATGCATATACAGGTAGAGAGTATGCAAAGGATCCAAGCAAGAGGAGCACAACCCAAGGAAATTAAGTAACCAAACCAGGGAGTTCTCTTTATCAGGTTATAGCTAGCAGAGGTCAATGTTATATAAGCAGAAATTGATAGATATGCAGGGATTATTATCATCATGGAAACATAAGTAAGAGCCAGGAGTTGAAATAACCAAATGCACAACTTGTGGAACATTGGAATTTCAATTACTAAGTCCCTAGAGTTATCATTGGTTTTGGTAGGATAGGATGAATGGGCAATTAACTGAGGTTAAGTCTTTTTTAGGAGATTCTCTGCAAAATTTGCCAAATCTTCAATGCAAGTAGCTGTGAAGATGTCAATTGCCCCAACTGGAACTCCAAGGAAATCAGAAAGTTTTTGAGCTGCCCGAACCACACCAATCGAATCTATACCATAGGATACTAGGCTCTCGGTGATGGAAATATTTAGAAAAGCAATTCCTGTCTGCTCTGAGAGTAAACTCTTCAGGAAATCCATAATTTCTTTTCTAGAAATATTAGGATTACTAGAAACAGAATTGCTTGTGACCTGAGGTTGGCATGCTTTTCTCATAAATGGGTCTGACAATCTTCCTGTAAGAACTGGCTGCTCTATCACATTCAAAGTCCCATCAATAAACTGCTTGAGACATTCAAATCTCTTGATCTTTCCTGATGTGGTCTTACAAATGGTTCGTGGTTGGATCAGCACAACAGAAGCAATAGCTAAACCGTGTTCTTCAGCAACACGGGTTTGAATCAGTTCAATAACTTCCTTACCAACAGCCTTACCTTCACGAACTTCTGCAATCACAACCAATCCAACCTGGTCAGAACTTTCAGGAACTGCTATACCTTTTGCTAGTAGAATATCTTCTGGAACACCAATCATAGCGCAACATCCTGGGCGTAGAACCTTAGATGAACACTCAATTGCCTTTTCAATGTCTGATGAGTACACATTTCTTCCAGCAACAATAATAAGATCTTTTATTCTTCCAGTGATAAATAAATTTCCTTCAATAATCCATCCAAGGTCTCCGGTTCTTGTGTACTTCTTCCCAATGTGATTCTGAAACTCATTCCTGAAGGTCTTCTGGGTCAACTCTTCCATGCCCCAGTACCCAATTCCCGCACTCGAACTACTAATCCATATCTCCCCTTCCTTTTCAGGCTTTTCATGTTCTTTACCGGTATCTGGATTAACAATTCTGATGTCAACATCTGGATCATTTGGATCAGCATTACCACAACAAACTCTTCCTTGCCAATCTACCAGGATTGGTTTTCCTTCTCCAAATGCACTGCTTACATACACACAATTTTCTGCCAAGCCATATCCAGGAGCAAGCGCCTCTTGGGAAAAGCCAAAAGGCCTAGTTAACTCGATGAATCGTCTTAGTGTTTTTGCCCTCACTGGTTCAGCAGCGACCATGAGGAAAACTATGGAGGACAAGTTGATATTCTGTAGTTTATACTTTTCAGACTCCAATCTTCTCACAATGAGTTTAAAAGCAAAGTTGGGGCCAGCACAATGAGTCGCCCGGTATTTGCTCATGGTCTCTAGCCATAAGACAGGATTCCTGATAAATGCTGTTGGAGAAAATAAAACTGCAGATCCACCACTCACTAGACTTGTGAAAAGTCCTCCAATAAGTCCCATGTCATGGTACTGAGGGAGCCAGCTTACAAGTACTGTCATTGATGTGCTCTTGTGTAATACCCCTAATTTTAAAAGGATAGTCTTGGCATTTTTAATATTTATTGTATTGCATTTTTTTATTTATTTTATTGTCTTTATCGCATTTTTATTTATTTTATTGTTTTTCAGTTGTTTAATTGGTTATTTGAAATTTGAATTAAATTGGTTTTATGTGCATTATTTGGTTTATTTAAATTCTTAATTGTTCTGTCTATTTTCGTAAATTATTAATTGTATTATTTGTAATTCACTGTTTTAAACTTAGGAAATTAACTTACTATAATTCTTGTAATGTTAAAATTAAGTTACGTGAGTTTTAAATTCATTAATTGACTCACAGTTTCTTTTGGGCATCAACGTAGAATTTAATCATAGGTTTTGTTTATGGGCCGACTAGGATTAAGTTTAGGGCTTCGTCTCTAAAATTACAAGGATTAGGGTTTTAGAGTTAAACCTATAAATACAACCATTATGCTTTAGCCTAGGGTTTACAATCATAATTCAGATTACATAAACGTGAAGCAAGTTCTTAGCACAGAGGGTTGTGAACGGAGGCACTGTAAGAATTGTCAAGGAGAAGAACAGTGAGTACCAAGGGAGGATTTTGGTGGATTAGACCAGAACCAGAGGAGGTTAGAAGGAAGTCAGTGGTTGCCAGAAGTTAGGAAAACGGCGACAAAGTTTTGAGTCCAAAACTGCAGGCAAGTTCTTCTCTTTCTCCTTCTCTTTGGCTCGTGTTCTGTGCACCTAGATAACCTTTAGGGTTTAATCAATCGGTAACTGGAATTTGCCTATTTAAATTATGCTATATTGATGGTCTGTGGTGTTGAAAATAAATCTATTGCAATGCATACAAGTTTCGTTCCAGTTTTCTGTCCTGCAAGCATGTTGTTTCTGTTGTAACTTTAGTCTCTGTTTTTTATTGCAACTACTGTAAACAAAATATAGGAACAATACTGGGGTTATATAAAACTCATAGGGTTGTTATTATTCTGCTTTAAATATGTGTTGCAATTTGTTCCGTTTCAATTTGTCAAATAGTTTCAGATTTGTTCCTATCGCATGTTAATTCAGTAGCAAAATTTAATCTCTATGATTGGGTCTAAGGGTTGTTATCAAACCTTTGGGATGTTCTTGGGTGTTAATAAGATACTTAAGATCAGTTTAAGAAACCAAACAGAAAGGTTGTAGTTAGCCGGAGTTGGAACAGAGGTCAGAACAAAGCTGAAACGGAGAGGAAGCCGGAGTTGGAACAGAGGCCATTGTTTTATTAAATTTGAACTATGCATGTGTTGGATGTTAATTGTTAGAATAGTTAATTCTTCGATGCAATTACATGGATTACTACTGGATTTTAATTGCTAGATTGTTAAGATTCCTTCTGCAATTATTTGGATGGTGGTTTTTGGTCTATAAATTATTAAACTGTTATATATGTTGTAATTTACATGGATATGGAGGATTGTATGTACCGGTATGGGATGGTGACATACTAGGGACGGTTTAACTCAAAACGCATAAACCTAACCTAATGGATTAATGGAATGGATTGAAAGATATCGAATCCTAATTGTGACTAAGTCAGATCAGCTGTAACCAAGTTGGATGACTTCCTGGATTAACGGATGGTAGTTAAGTCATATCAATTGAATAAGTTGAGTGACTAACTAGTTGGTTTATTGTATGTCAGTTTAATAAATAGTTGAATTACATACCCTGGATTTGGACGGACTTTATATATATGTTTATGGTACCACGAGTTGAGCTTGAGTCTCAGACTCGTTGGTTAGGGTGCGTATATGCGGTGGATGCGTAGCTGGTTATAATAGGTTGAGGTGTACCCTGTTAAGTCTAGGTACTCATGCCCACCTTTGGATGCGTATTCGCATGTTGCCTTCTATTTAGGTTGAGACCCCTATTATAGACTAGTGAATGTCCCTTAGTGTGGATATATTTATAGATATGGACTAGATAGATATTGTGAGGTGTCTACGGTGTATCTGCGTATCGGGTCACTGTATGGATTGCAGTTAGATTAGAACTTGCTCGTGAGTCTGACCCACTCCTTTATTATTCTTTTCAGGTACAGGACGGTTCCAGCCTTAGAGCTTGATCGTGCTTGTCAAGGACAATCCCACATTCATCTGATTACGTAGGACTTCTCTCGATGTTTCTAGCATTATCTATTTTCAGTTTTCAGTTTCTGTTGAACTTTTGGTTAGGGGTCCACCAGTGGATTCCCAAGTTGTAACCTTGAAGTTTTGGAGGATTGGAGTTTTATTTTTCAGTTATGCATAGAGTGTTTTTTTTTAATTAAATGTTCTTTTAGTTTTATTCCATCTTTATTATTTCATTTTGTCATCTGTGTTCGCTTTAAAATATTTTAATTGTTTGATATTCCCTCGGGTTTGGGCCTGGGCCTGATCAACCCGTGTCTCGGATCCGAGGGGTATCACAGTTGGTATCAGAGCACTCTAGGTTCAAGTGTCTCTAGGACGTTTCGTATTAAGACTTCCGCGTAGCATTTTTTTTTTTATATAGAGCTCATGTTTAGGATTCATTGAATTCTTTTACGGTTTGTTTAAACTCGTACTGATGTCTGTCTTTCTATATTAACAGCATGGTTAACACTGGAAGAGGACAGAGCATGAATAGTCGACAGAGGAGAGCAGCACGTAGACAGCTGGAACGTCTACAACGTCGGCAAATGAAAGAAGAGCAGCAAATGCCAGGGTTTCAGGAGGAGCAGGAGGAAGTTCAACAAACTCAGGGTCGGGTCAGAGATCCAGAGATTCCTCCACACCTCAATGACCTTATTGCTCGGGCTATAGAGGCTGGGGTAACAGCTGCACTCCAGAGCCGACCACAGGTTTAGCAGGCACCTGTACCAGCACCAGTGGTTCAGACGGATTCTTGGGGAAAGGCTAGGAGCTCTTTCACAAAGGGGAGTCCACTTGTGTTCTCAGGCTCAACCGATGCGAGAGCAGCTCACCAGTGGAAACAGGACATTGAGCGTCATCTTCATTTGGTTCAGTGCACGGAGGTTCAGAAGCAGATGCTTGCTACTTTCAAGTTAGTTGGGGATGCACTACAGTGGTAGGAGTCAGTTACCACCCCAGAGGAAAGGATGACATTGATTTATGATGAGTTCAGTGCTTGCTTTGATGAGAAATATTTTCCCTATGCAGTCAGGGTAGCTATGAAGACCGAGTTTCTAAATCTGTACTAGGAAAACATGATAGTGGCGGAGTATGAGCAGCAGTTCACACGCTTGTCTCTCTTTGCACCAGAGGAGGTGGATACAGAGGAGAAGAAGCGCAACAGTTTCGTCAAGGGACTGATGTGGTCTATCAAGAGAGCTATTACAGGTAGTCCAGCCTATACTACCTATGCTTAGGTGGTAGACGCTGCTCTACAACAGTATCAGTTGACTGTGGACATCAGACAGGCTCGTAGTGAGAAGCGGGGTGATAAAGACTCTACTAATCAGTCAACTGAAAAGGGGAATGGCAATGGTCACCGGTAGAATGACAAAGGCAAGTTCCAGGGACAACAGCCTTGGAAGAAGCACAAGGGTGGTTCAGATGCTCATCGGAATGGGGCACCTATTCAGAGGCAACAGAATGGGGGACCACCGGCAGGACAGGGTCAGCCACAGGCTAACCGATAGAGGAGGCCATTTGGTACTTTCTAGGGTAGTTGTTACACTTGTGGAAAGTATGGTCATACCACCAGGCAGTGTCCTAAAGCAGGACAGGGACAGGGACAGTATGTGCAGCAGGGACAGAAGGCGTCAGTGCCTCAACCAGCTCCACAGGTTCCACGGATTCAGGGACAGACACATCTGGCTTTACCGGCACCGCCGCAGACTCAGGGATAGACACCACAGCAGTTGCACTATGGCAGGGTGTATAACCCCATGCCACAGGATGTTCAGGCACCTCAGACTATTGAGGGTAAGTTTCCTATTCATGGTTTGCATGGACGTATTTTATTTGATACAGGTGCTACACACTCATTTGTAGGTAAGACTTTTGTTACTTTATCTGGGATGAGGACGAGGGTATGCACTAAACCCCAGGGTATTTCTATACCATTGGGTGATACAGCTATTATACATGAGAGTGATGGGCCTGTGACACTAGATATTGGCAGACTCAGATTTTTAGCCAATCTATTGATCCTGGACATGCACACTTATGATGTGATACTTGGGATGGATTGGTTGTCTCACTACCATGCCCAAGTTGATTGTTTTGATAGATCTATTATTTTTACCATACTTGGTCAGGATCTGTATGTAATAGCTATGCCACGTTCTAAAGGGGGCGGTAGCACCAATTTGTTCCATATGGAGGAGGAAAATGAGGGGGGGATTACTGTGCCATTGGATAACATATCGATTGTATAGGATTTCCCGGATGTATTTCAGGAGATTCCAGGGTTGCCACCTAGTCGCGAGATCGATTTTGTGATAGACTTAGCTCCAGGCACTGCGCCTATTGCTAGGGCACCCTATAGGATGGCACCGGTAGAGATGAGAGAGCTGAGGGATCAGATTCAGCAGTTACTCAGCCAGGGTTTTATTCGTAGGAGTACATCACCTTGGGGAGCACCGGTTCTATTTGTGAAGAAAAAGGATGGTTCGCTTCGTCTGTGTATAGATTACAGGGAGTTGAACAAGGTTACGATTCGTAACAAGTATCCTTTGCCCAGGATTGATGACTTGTTTGATCAGTTAAGGGGAGCCACATACTTCTCCAAGATTGATCTGCGTTCTTGGTATCATCAGCTGAGGGTTAGGGAGCAGGATGTTCCTAAGACAGCATTTCTCACGAGATATGGTTCTTATGAGTTTCGTGTTATGCCGTTTGGGACGACTAATGCACCTGCAGTGTTCATGGACTTAATGAATAGAGTCTTCCGGGCTTATTTGGATCAGTTTGTTATTGTCTTTATTGATGACATCTTGATCTACTCTCGGTCGGAGGACGATCATG